TTCATGATTGTCTGCCTTGTCATTGTCGTGGCTCTGAGCCCCGGCAGGCTGCTTCACCTGCACTAACCTATCAGCTGATCATTTAGAGGAAATCTCTCAGCTGACTGCACCCAGGACCACGCCCAAAACTCTGCTCCAGCTGGGAGCTCAAGCATTGTTTATTTAAGGTGAGGCAGAGAGGGCAGAAGAACTCCTTTCCTAGGACTGGTTAGGGCTGATCTATTGTTAATAAAGATGATGGTATACCAAATATTATCATCAACATTTTAAATAAAAAGGATTCTTTTGTTCTCAGTTACCCACATCTAAACTTAAAAAAAAAAATCTAAATGGAGTACATGTTTTAAATTCCACAATATTTGAAAAACCTTTGTCATATGAGATTGGTTAATTTCTGGCTAAATTAGGAACATGACTGAGAGTTCATTACTCCCTAAGTAGATATAGATGGTGTTTATCTCCCATCACACTTATTTTTTCATGTTTTCAAATAATCTTGTGTGAAATCTTATGTGTTTTCTAAATGTGAAATTATGCGGCCCACAAATTTTGGTCTGCTAGCTCTGTTTGTCCTCCAGCTACTGCCCATATCATACCCACCATGTGCCAAACATGTAGCACCCGTTTTTGTGGGGCTTTAAAGATAAGCTTTCCTGGTAGGAAAGCAGCTACTTTAACTGCATTCCTCTGTGTTGATGCCTCTGCGTGGGCCATAAGCCACGGTCTCACCTGTAGTGACATCACTGTTTGTGTGATTACTGTTTGAACAATTATTTACTCAACTCTCTGCTGAGGTCAGGGTCCAAGGATTTCTAGGAGAGGAGAGGCAGCAGCGGGGAAGAAAGCTGCTGTAGGGCTGCTCCATGTGGGCCCGCCTCCATTAGCAGGCGTCTCTGGTGGCTGATCGATACTTGGCAGTGGTAGTGGTTTCTGGTTTGGGTTTAGTTCCTATCAGCACATGTGAGTCACTCCCATGTTTCCAGGATCCTGTGTTACCCAGATAAGTGCACAGTAGTGGCAACCAGAAAATGTCATCCTCCACTCCGTAGAAACTTATTAAACTGTTTAAAGTTTACACTGTTAATTTGCGTTAATCAGAGACAATTAGATGACTTATAAAATAAATAAATATTTTATTTGATCTTTTCATTAGAAACTTTTAAATCAACAACTAAAAATGTATTTTTATTCAATGAGAGAGCTTGGAGAAAAATAAGATACAAGACTATAATGAACCAAAGACAGAATTTCACCAGAATAAGGCAGTGAACACCAAAACCCTGCACACAGGACACCTAAAACACAACAAAAACCATGGACCCTAAAGGTACCAGTTTGTTACCGTGAGAGGCCCCATCTTTCGACTCAAGTCATTGTGCTCCCGGATTTTAATTAGCTGTGAGTGTGGCTCCTGTTTATGCTCCATCTCTAAATTTACACGCGTTTTGTGGCTCTCTGCAGGCAGTCGGATTTGATGAAAACAGAGCTTTGTCTTTAAAGATCTCATTGGTGGTCTGACACTTGGTCGTTTATCTTTTCTTACCTCATAGACAATAATGAATGGAAAGATAGAACCAGCTGAGCAGCACAGCATCGGCTGTTCCAAGTATACCTGTCAAACCTAGCTTTTGATGTTTAGCTTTCACTGCATGCTGACGGTAGTGAAGCTGTAGTCGTTGACACAGACAGCCGTGCAGTCATCGTTTCTGTTGCGTTAGAAGGCTTGGAAGCTGCACTTCTGTCTTTCTTCTAATCCGTATGGAGTCTATTTTGAGATAACATTTCCAACAGCTCCAGCACTGCTTTGTGTAAAAGCCACGCTTTCCTTGAGGATGTTTTTTTTTTTAAAGTCTTTCTCTGTGATAAAATGTGCTGTGATGCTTCCCATGCCCTCGCAGGCATTATTGTTGTCACTGCACTTCAGGTTTGTGTGCTGCCAGCTGAGCACTCGCATGCAGATCCATGAGCTTCATATATCGCTGTCCTTCTGGCATCAACCTGTAGCTTTGTGAATGAACATGTGCAGGTGGTGCCAAAGAGAAGCACAGAGATGATCCGGAGGTGTGAGGGTGACTAGTGCTATGACTCAGCAGATTGGAGTGGGTGGAGGTTCTGCCTTTGCATTCAGTTTCTGTCCATTTGCCTTCATTTATTCAGCCACTCTGTAATTCCTCCTAACATACATGATGGTTCTTCCCTAAATATATTCCATGTTTATACTCATGAAATGAGACAGGAAAGGAGGGATGTGAGGACAGCGTGTCCAATCTGAGCATGCTCTGTGGCTCCATCTTTAGCTCCTCAGAGACAAAAAGAGAGAAGGAGTCAATCCTCCCTGAGGAGACGGCTGTCCCTCACAGATACGACAGCATCAGAATAGAAAAGAAGGCTGGAGGATGATGGCTTCATGTTATTGCTGTCAGCATCCCACACTTGAGATGGAGAGTCATATTATCTAAACAGTTTAGAAAATTGCAATTGAGTCAATTTTCTGTTTTCTACTTCTTACTTTACTATCATTGTCATTTCTGTTCTTCCATAAAAAAAAACAGTAAAAAGTAAAAGTAAAAATCCTCATATTAACATGACTATTATTTTATGCAGCAATTTTTTTTTCTAGATACATTTTTTTCCCTGTGTGTTTTAAAATAAAACACACTGTCATTTCTTACAAGATTATGAAGTAGAGATCAGTTATAGATGTCATAGTCATAGAGGAGAAAAACAGCAACAGCAAACAGATCTATTTACTTTTCTATCTTTTAACAAATGGAGGTAATAAAAGCCTTCTTATTGTTTGATCATAGTTGCTTTTCTTCTTATTTTCTGTCCATCCCTTTTGCCTCTTTCATGTCCACACCAACAACCTTTTTGTTGCCCACTGAAGAATCTTTTGTTGTTGATGTGTACAAATCTAACCACATTTGTACCACAAATCATGCCTATTAGCTGGGGCTCGGACCGGTGACTTCTTGAGCTCGGAGGTTGGGCGGTTACGTTGTGATTTCATGATAGTGATGTTAAAAATGAAAACACTTCAAATTTATCTAGGAAAAAAAGTCATCATGACCATTAAATTTTATGTTAAGTTTCAAAATCATCAGTAGATTAAATCGATTTGTCTGACTTTGATGTGCCTCCAACTCCCTCATTCGCGAAAGTCTTGAGACTCTTTAGGTGACTTTACTAAATCGCAACCATTTCAGATGGACAGGAATCATAAACTGAGATGTAGAGAACACAGAAAAAGAGGCTACACATGAGCAGAACACTCCCCTTTGACAAAATTTGGTAGTTTGCTTCGTCTATGTGAAACCACAAATGAGAATATATGAAAAAATATAGAAATATATGGAAACATAACATGACTTAAGCCACTCTGTCGCTGTCACCTGACAACATCTACTTCCCAGCATAAGATCAGCTCTACCACTGAAACCTGCCCTCTGTTGAGTTTGTGGACAGAGCCGAGCGGGAGAGGCACACCTTTATCACGTGAAAGCTTGTTTGTGTGTGTGTGTGTGTGTGTGTGTGCGTGCGTGCGTGTGCGTGGGAGTGCATGTGTGTGTGTAAACAAAGACACTGCTGTGTGTGTAGCCTTGTTTCAGCCGCCTTTGCATACGCCTGTAGATAAGTGAGATAGAGCGCAGCCCCCACCTGGCTCCAGCTGAGCTGTGTACACTCCAAATATTTCCATAGCTGGCTGTCTCACGGAAATGAAGGAGGAAGTCCTACATGGAAGAGACAGAGACAAAGAGACGGAGATGAGCTGAAGCTCTCCTGTGACATGAAGACTAAACCTTCAAGTGACTCAGTCTCTATGGAAATAATTCTCTGTTGACAGCAGAGTCAAACATTTACTTTGTTTTGTAATGTGTAGTAATATACAGGCAGACTACATAATCTAAAAAAATCTTCCAATTTTGGAAAATGTGAGGTGGATTTCAGGACAGCGATTTTCAGTTTCAGTTTAGTCATAAAGACAAAATGTTTTTTTCAATATTCAGAATGTTTCAGTATAACTTGTCACACATTAAAAGCTGTTTGTATCCAATCCAATCAGTATTTAGATAGTAAGTAAATGTATTGTTAAAATGATCTAAATACGATAAGTAATGAATTATCCATCCATTTTCTTTACCCACTTATTTCATCACAGAAGATGAATAGTTAGGACAATAGAAATAAGTAAATCTTGGTCATATACTGAAAATAGCAGTGTGGTCAGCAGGCGGGCAGCACTGTTGCCTGACAGTGAATCTGAGCGGAGGCGTTTCTGTGGTGAGTTCTCTCGTGCTCCCGGTTTATGAGCGGGTTGTCCCCAGGCACTCGGACTTCCTTCTACCTGTGAAGGGGCACGTTTAGCGTTACGCAATCACCTCTGTCCTTTAGCAACATGGTTAAAGTCTGGGACCAGCTGCTGAATATTTGAAATATAAATAATTTCTTAGGTTAGCTTCATATAGTATTTCAGCTACTCATCAGCTCAAACGGTCTCTTTTATAGTCTCATAATTCATCACCTGTTACAGCAGCTGAGACATTAAGGTAAATTCTTTTATTAAGATTTGATGCTAAGACTGTCTCAGGAGAGCTTTTCCCACAGTCAGAACTTGTGTTCTGTCCGGTCATGTCAAAGACTTGATTTCCATCGACCAGATTTTTTATGAGATGTCATCATGTAGTTATTGTAGCTTCATAAACTTATAAACTTTTGTTACTCTTCACTAACCTTTTCAAGAATGAGTGTTGACATACATTTCAAAATCACTTATTTCGAATAGCTTGAAATATGTTTTCTTTCTATTAGATGTAGAGTTAAATGACATTCAGGTGACTAAAATGTATTTTTCATACATCTAAACAAGCAAATCAAGATGTTATCGAAATACTCCGATATCTCTTTTGCATATGAAAGTGACTTCTTATGAAAAATAAAATTGCTATCTTTTCCTCCTCCCCCTTCCTGCCCTGTCTTCCACCTCTACTTTAGTCCTAATTCTGCAGCCGGTGGAACGGGACGACCTCTACGGGAAAACCCTCAAGATCACAGATTTCGGTTTGGCCAGAGAGTGGCACCAGACCACCAAGATGAGTGCGGCGGGGACCTACGCCTGGATGGCACCAGAGGTCATCAAGCTTTCCCTCTTCTCCAAGAGCAGCGACGTGTGGAGGTGAGGCGCTGGGGCCTGTCTGTCACCTCATTCCACTGATTTCTAAACTGACAAGCTACTCTGCGAGCTGTCGATGCGCAAACTCAGGAGCACTGAGGGATTTTTGCCTGTTGATTTTCTGAATTTGAGAATAAGGTAAATGTTAACTGATTCGTAAATCGCGCAGTGCACTTCTGAGTCTGATTCTGCAGCAGGACAACAGCTCGAAAAAACATGCAATCAGTTTAAAAAGGTTTTCTCTGATGTGATTCAGCAGATGGTCCGGCACCCACAGAGCTGATCTTCAAAATCTGTGTTGGATTTTTAGTTAAAAGAGAGAAAATCAGCTGAGAAAATCAGTGTCACAAGTTCTCCAACATGGACAAACATAGCTGTAGTGTTTACCTGACAAACTTTGAGCCCATGAGAACAGTCGGGGTTAAAAGTCAAAAGTTTGACTTAAAGTCAAATTTGAACCCTGTTAACTTTGATTTTCTGGAGCAGCAGCTGCAGTACAAAGTAACGTCAGGGAGTCTGTGCGGTATTTTTCTAACGCTGGAAAAACCAGCCTTGACTAGTTGATGCTGTGCAGAGAAAGGTCGTGACTTTTCTGTAAGTGGTGGAAAGAAAAGCCGGTGGAGGCTGTGAGGAGATGCTAAGCAGCCACTGGCATCTTCAGCTGTTACACAGACGACTGCAAACACACAAAACGATTCAACAAGGGTGACGTGCTAGTCGAGATATCAGAATTGTAACATTTTCCCTGTTTGTGGCTTTCAATAAGAGAGTGGTATATATTATATATATTATATTATATATTTATACAATACTTTCCAACAGTTCTGTGAAGAACACAGCTGTTCATTTTAAACCCTTCTTTCAGTTTATGGTGATCAAAGTAATTTAATGGAGCTTAATAAATCTACATGTTTGCTGGTTAATTGGCCGCTAAAGTGAGCGCCAAAATAATAGCAAAAAATAGGTAATTTCTTTAATTCCTGTCTAGAATAACCAGTGAATCAGAGATTTATTGTCTGACTTTAACTTTCCAGATCCAGTCCTTTATCAGGTTATAAAGAGATGTTTATGTAATGTAAGTCTGCTTTGGTGGCCACTAAAAACAGCTGTTAGGATTTTTCTGAGGGCTAGTTTTAACATTTAAATTCAGCATTTAGCAGATGCTTTTATAGTGACTACAAAAAGTGACTTACAAAAAGTGACTTACTTTAAAGTGACTTACAAAAAGATTATTTTTTGTCTGATATTCTTTAAAAGCAACAAACAAAAAGGTTGATTTTCTGTCTCCTCACAGCTTTGGTGTGTTGCTCTGGGAGCTGCTGACTGGAGAGGTTCCCTATCGGGAGATCGACGCTCTGGCGGTGGCTTACGGTGTCGCCGTGAACAAGCTAACACTCCCCATCCCCTCAACCTGCCCTGAACCTTTCGCTCAACTACTTGGAGGTAAGCAGCTGCCACTTGAGGCCAGGGTGATAATTAGTATCGAAGATAGCGAGTCTGAGCCTTGTTGTAAACAAGGGAATTAAAACGTGTGAAAGCCCAGTCATGGATTTTTCTTCTGTTCATGGTTTGAAACACAGACTCTCTGTTTGTGTTTCTGGTTTTTGCTGTAAACGACTTATCCAAAAGGACCTGAAACACATCGCTGACATTGCAAAACTCAGAGCGGTTAATTTTAAACCCTTCTTCCTGCCCTCTGTGGTGGCTGGGAGTTATTCTTTTAATACATCCTTGTGTCTATCATCTAAACCCTACAGGGCCAAATTTCTCCTCCTCAAAAATAGGAGTACAATAGGCGTACATTCATCTCCTGAGGTATTTTGGTGACTTATAGACCCTAAATGTTTAATAACTGGACCTCAAGGCCCATTCATATACAGAATGACTTGTTTCCAAGTAGTAAATGGACAAACGACAGCAGTGGGACCTGTGAGGGCAGTCTTTGGACCCATAAAGGTAGAAGGAGGTGCTTTCTTTTCTGATAAGGCCATCTGTATTAGCTGTACTAGAGTATTATCAGGCTCCCTTTTCGCAGGTCATATGAACTTTAAACTGCTCGTTTTGTTCCCTGCAGAAAGAGAAGTTGCTCGTTTGGCTCTGCATTAAAAGAGAGAGTTGTTTTTAAAACTTTCCTTGCCCCCTCCACCCCTCTGCCCACTTCCAAAGCCTCTTCCTTCCCTATTGCCCTCCTCAGTCCACTTCATCTTATCCGTGCTCATCCGTTAATCTCCCTCTTGTCATTCCTGGCTGCTCTTAACGCCGTGTTTACTCCTGTCATCTCCTTCCGACTTTATCCAGACACTCCAGCCTCACCTACAACACAAATGTTACTTCTTATAAATTATTTGTTTAGCCCATGAAGGTTCCAGAGCGTCTTATTTTAGCTTTTGTTGGTGATTCCCTCTTGTATTGTTAGATTTCAGAGGATGAGTGTTTTGTGGTTTTGCTTTGGAAGGACAGTGCTGATCAGTTTGTGTCTCAGCAGTGAGTTGTAGGTGTTCAGCATGTTTCCACAACACTGTCAGATCGGGTTTGGCTCTCGATGGTCGCCATATGCCGTCCCCATCTTGCTCCCTTCCTCTTTTCCCGTTGTTGTCTTGTCTGCCAGACATGAAAAATAGATTCAGACCAACAATTCACAGTTCAGCCTGATTTAGTTTTTTAAACTTGATACGTTTAAATCATGTCAGCGTCTGGTTAGCTGTTCACAGCTTAAGTCTGCAATATGGTCTACATCTAAAAAGTAATTTGCTTTTCCTTTTATACTGTAGAGCTCCACTGTACAGAAGAGCTTAATTTATTTTCCTCTATTAGAATGAACATGTAGATTCATTTGGCAACATAAAAGTGTGTTTCACTCATGCCTAACAAAAGCAATGTTTACATACACCTGAACCATTTTAGACTGTAAACTCTAAAACACTGAACTGCGAATAAATTCATTGCATAAAATCTATTTTTCTGATTCAGGGAAGTTGGTCAAGTCAGTTTCCTACAACTTACAGTAAACAAAAACAAAAATATTCCATTGTTGAAACTGAAACCTGATTAAAAAGGTCTGATATAAATGTTTTATCTAATTTCAATTTGCAAATGAACATGAAAAATTAACATTACTTGGAACCTCTTTTTGGCTCTTCACAACAGAAGTATTATTGCAGGTTTATTGATCTCCTCCTACATGATGCACTTCGTAGCCTTTTTTGAAAATCTTACTGTGGAACTTTTTTACCAATTATATGTCTATAAATAATCTGTTGAAGGAAATGATGCACACGCTACATGGCACTAACACCTCAGTTTGCATCTTTTGCTCTTGTCTCCTGTTTCTCAGAGTGTTGGAGCCCCAACCCCCACAGCAGGCCGTCATTCACCAGCATATTAAGGCGACTGCTGGCCATTGAACAGTCGGCCATGTTTCAGATGCCTCTGGAGTCCTTTCACTCCTTACAGGAAGACTGGAGATTGGAGATCCAGCAGATGTTTGATGAGCTCAGGGCCAAAGAGAAGGTGAGAAATTCAAGAAAATGCAGGTTTCAGACCAGTGGAAAGACACAGAGAGAAGAAATGTCACAGAGGTTTGGGTTTTAAAGTGGATTTTGCAGTCTATAGCTCAAATAAGAATGTACACATTTAGCAAATCTTTCTCTTTTCCTGCTTTAGATTTTTTTTAAATGGTGGAACTTTTCACATTGATGTGGAAAGAATCTCACCTCTATTTCTGCTAATTAGAAATCCCCGATCAGCTAGACTAATGCAGAATGAAGTGTTAAAGGAAGTGCGGCTAGAAAATAAGCTCTCCTCCTCGTTTTTTTTTGTTTTGTGCAGGAGCTGAGGTCCTGGGAGGAGGCGTTAGCCCGGGCAGCAGAGGAGCAGAGAGAGCAGGAGGAGCAGCTGAAGAGGAGAGAGCAGGAGCTGGCGGAGAGGGAGTTTGACATAGTGGAGCGAGAGCTGAACATCATCATCCATCAGATGTACCAGGAAAAGCCCAGTGTCAAGAAGAGGAAAGGCCACTTTAAGAAGAGCAGACTGCTGAAGCTGGGAAGAGACAGCAACTGCATCAGCCTGCCCTCTGGTGGGTGGAAGCAGGAACTGCAGTTTAACCTGGGGAAAAAGGGTTACAGATTTTTTATATAATAACTAACAATGACTTTCCTTCAGGAATTTAAAAATGTTGTATATTCTCACTGCTTAGGGCTGCATATTTTGCTTCGGTGAGAAAACATTTTGACCTCATTTATCAGAACAAGTGCAATGCATAGGACCAAGTATCACACATTTGATAGTTCTGTCTGTTTTCTCAGTGTTTTATGAGGGGAAAATACATAAATAATCTAATTTTTTGCAAATATGTGTATGTGGTGAATCCACAGAAAAGTGGAACAAATGTTTGCGCATTTCTCTCTTTACAGGATTTGAGCACAAGATCACAGTGCAGGCGTCACCCAGTGTGGACAAGAGGAAGAACCAAGGCAGCGAGAGCACCACGCCGCCTGCCAGCCCGGGGGTCCTCCCCCGCTTGCGAGCCATCAGATGTGAGTGCAAACACCGACAAAGTCGAGAAAGGATCTTTCATCAGTGCGCCGTTTTCTGAATGTGTTGATCCCCCCCCCCTCAGTGACGCCGAGCGATGGCAGTAAGACGTGGGGCCGCAGCGCTGTGTGTAAGAAAGAAGACCTGACAACTAGCAAGAAGAAAGGTCGCACCTGGGGGCCGAGCTCCACCCACCAGAAGGAGCGGGTCGGTGGGGAGGAAAAGTGCGTACCCTGTCTTTTTCAGCTCATGCTGTGAAATGTCTCAACAGTAGTTGATGGAAGCCTTCGGTTTAAAGTGCTTTAAACCGGGATGTTTCACTCTCCCTAAACCATTTTTCCTGGTTTTGGCCTGTTGAGACCCAGCACTTTCTTATATTTGAATAGGTAGAAACAAATCTACCGATTGAAGCAGTCTGAAAAACTCATTCCCTGAATCACATGGCAGATTCGTTTTCATCCTCTTCAGTGATTATTTTCACATATTCTTTGATATTTTGTTTTCATGACAGCTCAATTTAATGTCGCTTCTCTGCTTCCAGGCTGAAATCACTTAGTGAAGGTGGCAAAGTTTATTCCTCAAGTGCACCCAATCTTGGCAAGTCCCCCAAACACGCACCGATGACAGGTGGCTTCTCTAGCCTGAATGAGATGGGTGAGTCTTACGTTTAAAAAAAACAAACGTTTTTTGTGATCAGTCCACCTTTATTGCACCCAAAATCTAACCTTTTTGTCTGTGTATAACAGAGGAATGCTGCGAGTTCGAGGAATCTCCAGGATCTTTACAGCCCTCAGAAACCAGCAGCAATGGGGTCATGGAGGATTCGGGGCCGCTGTGGGGCAGCCTGGGGCCCAACGCAATGCTCTCTGTTGGTAGCATGAGCTCCTATACGGCTCCTGGAGGCCCCGGCACCGGTGGGAGTTGTCAGGACTCGACTCGTCGCTGCAGTCAGAGGAAAAAGAGCGACATGCTGCTGTTGGGTTGCGCCTCTTTGCTGGCCTCTGTGGGTCTGGGACAGGACCTCCTTCAGCTGGGAAAACTGCAGGTAGTAAAGCAGTGGCGCGATGATGGTCGGATTAAAACTTAAACCAGCCACAAATCATGGCTGAGCTGCTGTATTTTATTGGGCAGTGATAAATTAGTCATGCACAATATAACCGCATTCTAGATTTTTAAGGGTTTCCACTTTTATTTTGGGGGGTGTGGGGTCTTGTTTGTGGTGTAGCTCTGCTAGGCAAGACTAAGTCAAAGCAAAAAGTTTCAGCGGGATTAATCAAATTTGTGTCAGTGTAAAGGATAGAATTTAATCATTTTGAGAAAAAATAAGCATTCAATGTAAGCAAATTGAATGGCTTAGCTCATTTCCAGAGAGCTGAGGATCTCAGGCTCGTTTTAAAAGAGGGAAAATAAAAGCAAATCATAGCTGCATAGATTCTAAAAAACTATAAGAAAGTCCCTGCGATGCCTCACCCTAAAACCAGAGGAGGATCTCTCTGAGACACTGACAATGGGCTCGCACTCCATCCAACCTGGCTGAGCTTGACTGATTCTGCCAAGAAAAATAGGAGAGGCTTCCAAAGGACAGGCGTGGCACGCTTGTAGGATCATTCCTGAGAAGACTACCAGCTGTTTGTGCAGCCAAAAGTACTTCATTATAAAGCGGTTATTTTATTTCTTTAACACAGCTACATGATCTACATCTGCGCCAACCAAATAATTGAGAATGTCTCCGTGTCTTTGCTTCACGGAGGTAAATAAATCATTTGTGTTGTGAAATGAGAGCAGAGCCAAATGTGGAAAACTGATGATGCTACCTCTGCTGTCCTTATTTGCACTCCTGGTTTAATGAGCAGTGACTTTTTTTTTTTGGTCTTTTGACAGCCTACTCTTCTTGCTCTGTAGATTTTGTCACAGTTTATGTTTACTTCTTTTTTTATTATGTTATCATGTCTGAGAGCAAGATCCCTCTTACAGGACAAACACACCCTGTCACTCTTTCATCTGTAATTCAGTATGGCCCTTTTTTTTTAAAATCCTGCCAGTTTTCTGCTGCAGCTGGTGCAGAATAAGTCATGGGGGAGAACACCCCTCTTAGTCGATATATTTTTTTTGTTCAGAGTTGCAAGTATCAACTGAAAATCCACTTTACAGTGAAGTTGCATCAGCATGGATCAGGTTTTTTTGTGTTTATACAGCACTTTTATTCTTTAGAGATGTGCGTCTCAAGCAAATTAGGGTGTAAAAGTAGATTGTATTGATGTAGAAAATCATGCTTGCAGAATTTCCTCCATCAAATTCAGATGAATAAATGTTCAGTTGGTCAGAGTACGCCCACCAAGTCTTACTGAACTATTATATCGGATTAAGTGTGTCTTTCTGTTTATTTTGAATAACATGGAGGTACTTTTAAGGCTAATTCTAATGATGATGTGGCCTAACGTTGCTCTCAGGTGCTTCAGGATGAGCAGGACCTCAGAGAGGAGCAGCGTAAGAAAAAGGACGGCCTGTTCCAGCGCACGGGCCGTTTTCGTCGTAGCACCTCCCCTCCAAGCAGAAACCTCTCCCTGACCCTCTCCAGACACCAGGACTCTGCGCTGCCCTGCACGGACCCCTCCCCCTCCGTCACACTCCTGTCGCTGTCCTCTCTGTCTGACTGCAACTCCACCAAGTCCCTCCTCCCCTCCGACCCGGACGAGTACCCCCTGACCCCCGTGACCGGGGTCAAGATGCCAGCGGCCTCTCCGGCGCCGGCCCTCAACCCGTTGTTGGACCTTCGGGCCGAGAGCTTCAAAAAGGAGCCCAACCAGTCGCTCACGCCCACGCACGTGTCCGCCGCCATGGCTCTGAACAGAGGACACAGACGCACCCCTTCAGACGGAGCCATCCGACCCAGAGCCCAGACTCTGGGACACCGCAGGACGCCGTCAGACGGCAGCATGCCCATGCCTCCTCCACCGGGAGCTCCCCACATCACAACAAGCAAAGGTACGCTGCCAGCTCATTCATAAGGTTGTTTCTTTTAAAGCAGAATGCTCTTTCCTATCGGCCGTTTACTTGCCAAAGCAAGCAGAAAAGCTCCAATTTTGCAACACAACCGTGAGCCAACAGGTTTTTGTGAGAACAAATCTATGGAGTTGAGGTTCTTTAGTTTTGACAGGAGAGTTCAGCTTAATTGTCTTTTAGTACTTTGTATGCTTGAAATATTACTGAATGTGAATGCTAAAGGGCGCTGCTGTTTATGGCAAGACATCATATCCACATTGCACATTCTATTTTATTTAGCCACACCTTGTCAAACAACCCTGTGTTTGACAAAATCAACTAAATAAAACCTTAAGGCCCCATAAGGCCACTTTTATTCAGAAGGCTACCTCCTTTAAACTCTTATAAAATTATTTTAAGCTGCTGTTTTCTTAACACAGACAGTAGATTTTGTGGTCTGAAATGTTAGCTGTACTCACGACTCTTCTATTACTCAGGTACAGCTGACACCCTTGACATCCCTCGCCTCCCGGACCCCTCCATCATCTTCCCGGTACCCCATCGGCGCAAAGCTCCTGCCCCCCCCATCCCTGTCCCGGATCCTCTCATCAGCCCTCCGGAGAGGCCCAAGACTCTGGAGTTTGCCCCCCGGCCGCGGCCCACCCCGGTGCGGATAAGACCCGACCCCTGGAAGCTGGGCTCTCTGTCCCGGACCCTGAGCTCTTCCCCGGGCAGCAGCTGCGACAGTCCTCTCGGCTCGGGGGACAGCACCGCCAGCGCCGCACGGCCGAACCTGCTGGACATGGACATGGAGGGCCAGAACCAGGACCCGACAGTCCCCCTGTGTGGAAAGCTGCAGCCAGCCACTCTGTGCGGACAACAGTACTCTTAGTGAAAACAGCAGGCAAACACCACAGGGGGACATCCGGACCTGCTCCGGGGATACGGCGCCTGGGCTGAATACGGGGCGCCTACTGATGTCTGAGCCGAGCAAAGTGCACTCAATGACGTTAGCAAAAACATCCCACCTCTAGTCGTGTTTTAGGCACCTTCTCAGGAGGTGTGAACCATTCCCCGGTAGTGCTCTCGATCCCGCACGACACTGAGGGTCCAAGAGGCCTTTTAAAAGCCTCGTAGTGTGCTCTTCCACCTACCTTACCTTCCTTTTACCTTCTTTTCCTCATCGGGGCCCATCTCCACCTGCTGCATAGACCAGGTGACATTTCCTTAAGAAGCCATTCAAGTACTTAAGAAGCCACTTTTTTGACTTTGCTAACTGGTCATTTAAATTCATCTGCTTGTGCTTTTTGCCCGTCTGTGTAGCTTTGCACTTTTCTGCTTGCAACTCTCCTGTCTATAGCTTAAAAGATCTGGGGGGCAAAAAAAAATCACATATGTTGTTTAAAGAGCGTCTCTATGATTTTAAAAAAAGAAAGTGTCATTGCTCAGATTTTGCACAGTTTGCTCCTCTGTCAGCGGACAAACTTCCTCCATCGAGTCCCCTCCACCTGCTTTGCGTTCACCCCCACTCCGTGTCATCTCTTTGCATGGTGGTCTTTGTCATCTTCCTCCAAAGCGGAGACAAAACCGGTGTACTGATCACATCTTCAGCCTTTTTTTTCAAGATGAAACAGAATTTATTTCCTCAGTGCTTGCAATCCGTTTATTTATTTTTCAAAAAGGTGGTTCTCCGGCATAGGTGTGTTTCTCTTGGTGTGAAAGTGCATACTATATATTACTGTACATGTGTGGAGGAACAAATTGGGTCCATTTTGTGTGTGCTGGTGCTCATTCAGTGCATGTTATTTCACTTGAAGATGATTTGCTGTACAGTGTGCTACATGCAGCTACGTTTTATTCAAGGCTCCTACACACACGCTCCCATCGCTTCGTCTCTCTGAAATGAAAACATTCCTCTAGCAGTCGGTAGCACATTGCACGCATCACACTCATTCCACTGACAGGCACGCAGACTAGGTAACAGGCTACCTGATCTCAACATTAACCTCATGTTCACACATTCTGAAATTTCATCTCTCTCTGACCCGCTGTCTGAAACGTCAGTGGCGCCTCAGGAGCGACGGCGTGCGAGCGGCTGGTCTCTCTGTGGACTCAGAAGTCGCCCTCGACAAATCGACTTTCCCCTCCAGGTGTGGACAGCTCAGTTGGCTGCAGATGATATTTGCTTGACTGTGCAGATTTCTTTAGCTGCATGTGTGTGTGTGCGTGAACGTGGATTTGAGCATATGTGAGTTTGTTTTTATCTGTATGGGATGGTGACAATCCCATTGGCTGAGGAGTGAGCCTGAACTCATTCCCCTTGTGCGGCTAAGAACACTGACTATTTATTGAATTTATTGTTATTGTGGGAAAGGAATAATTATTATTTTGATGCTCTTTCTGGGATATCTGTATATATTTGTTAATATAATAGGAAAAACCAAGGAAAACCTGGGAAAATGCGTACTGAGACATCCACGTTGTCACATGTCACAGTCTCACTCTGTGACGTGGGGGTTCACTGGAATCTGTGTGAAATGTGATGAACGAGAGGTGAATAAAAAACAAAGAAAAGAAAGAGGCTTACATGTCATTACATCTGGTTTTGTCTTTGTCATAACAGTCCTGCTTCGAGCTCTGAAACAAGCTGCACATGAATATTTGAATATTTGCATTTCTGTTGTAGTTTAAGATGGACCTTGTTTTTTACCAGTATGCCTCACCCACGATATTTGATTCCAGTGTTAATCAGATGAAGGGTGTTAGCCTCTCCATGTGGGACTATATGAACCTGAAGGGCCCAAGGATTAACCTGCCACAACATGAAACGAGGTCCTGATGCCACATGCAGCGTTTTACCTTTACCACTTTATTCACTTTCAACAAGACACTGAAATTTTGTTAGTTTTTTAAAACGTGTTGATCAAATGTGGCCAAACTCAATCACTCACAATAAAAACAGAAGTCTTTATTGATTATTTATATATATATTCATTTTCTACTATCACCTTATTTTTGTATTTTCTTCAGGTTTCACAGGTGGATTATTTCTTGGTTTTCTGCAGCTTGTATTTAAAAAAAATAGAAGCTTAGGTTGCATTTCTATGATAGAAAGATTGTTATGATAAACCTAAACTGTTTAAACACACTTTCAATGAAAAATAACAACAAAAAAATATAGATTTCCCTAAAACTGTTTTTATGATGATTGATTAAGTCATTTCACCTTGCAAAGGGTTTGTATTCTCATACAGATTTTGGACTTTTTCCGTAGTCATTTTATCTATCACTAATGACAGAAAGTAAAGAAAATAAACAAAGGGATCTCCTGAATAGAAACTACTAAAAGAAAACACTCCAAAGAATAATAAAACAGAAACTCAAATGAAGACTCAATATAAAACCTTTAAAAAACGTTTGATATGATGCATACATTGTTTATCAGTGAAAGTCCCCTGTTGTCTGGGTCATTTTTAAAACGTCCATCCATCCATCCATCCATTCTCCTCCGCTTATCCGGGGTCGGGTCGCGGGGGCAGCAGCCGGAGCAGGGAAACCCAGACTTCCCTCTCCCCGGCCACTTCGGCCAGCTCCTCCGGGGGGATCCCGAGGCGTTCCCAGGCCAGCCGGGACACATAGTCCCTCCAGCGGGTCCTGGGTCTTCCTCTGGGCCTTCTCCCGGTGGGACGAGCCCGGAACACCTCCCCAGGGAGGCGACCAGGAGGCATCCTGATCAGATGCCCGAGCCACCTCAACTGGCTCCTCTCCACGTGGAGGAGCAGCGGCTCTACTCCGAGCCCCTCCCGGATGGCCGAGCTTCTCACCCTATCTCTAAGGGAGAGCCCAGCCACCCTGCGGAGGAAACTCATTTCGGCCGCTTGTACGTTATAATTGTCCAACACATAAAAAAACAACAACAACATTTTTTGCTTTCACACTGCTTTCAATGTTCCTATTTGTTTTTTACCTGGAAAGATCCTGAATGTTTTTACCACCGCTCAGCAGACAAAGGCGCCTGCAGTTACACATAGAATCCTCTAGGTGTCCCCATTGTGGCCAATGATGTCATTTCTCTGCTGTTTTGCTCCACGTCATGCATTCCCGTAGTCTCTTCCTGACACTGCAGCTGCCAAAAAGCCTTCTGGAGGTACACGAATTCCAGGTTTTAATCTGACAAATTAGATGAAAAAAAAACTGAAACGGCAAATAAACCGAAAATGTTTCTCCCAGCAATGCCAACCTCAAAATATAGAGACACATCCACACAGTTCCAGTGTGTGTGCAGATGTTGCAGAGACACACACCCTCACACTCTTCATTGCTGTGTCTGTCAGTGTTACCGGCAATGAAACACTGATTCAGACGCCGGCCAGTTACCTAGCAACCCATCTTCACTTCCATGGCGATGCTATTAAAAGCAACAACACACACACACACACACACACAAAGAAGGGAAAAATGGATGAAAATACGGTCTGTGTGAAAGAGAGGTGATAAACAGCCAGTAGAAAGGACCCAGCAGCATGAGGATATGAGGCCTGTTCACACAAGTGCTTTCTTTGTCTGTTTTTTCCTCCTAATGCTCTTTTTCCCGACTACCTCGATTGCTTACATTCTCTGTTCTTCCTGTTGTCTCAATGTCTGCATTTCTCTTTGGAGTTTCTCCTCTTCCTCTGTTTTGATTCTGAAATAGAATATTTTACCACTGAAGGGGCAACAAATTGAGATATTACTGTTCAGAGTGGATGAAAACGCGGAAAAAGATGTGGCAACAGACAAAGACGTACAATCATATGTGAGTGTGTTTCTGTTCTCTTCTGAAGTGCACAGCTTACCAGATTGCCCACCAGTTGGTGAGTCCTCAGATCAACAGAAGGTTTCTCTTCATCTTTCGCGGAATCTTTTTACCAGACCATTAAGCCACTGAGGAATCTAAATCATGAGATCATCAGCATCTTAATGAACAAATTTGTAGTAAAGGAGAGGATCTTAAAATGTTAAGCGTACAGCGCCTGAGAACGTGCTAAAGCGAAGATTAAGATGATTCAAGGGGCATTTCACCATTCTGTTAAATGTTAGACTCTCAAGGATCATTACCCATCGTCCTTCAAAGACATTTTGCAAATTCAAAAACATTTCTGTGGAACTGCTTCACTGCCTGTCTCAAAAAGTTAATTTGCCCTCTTCATGAAAACTGTGAGTCTGAGGTGATTTGCTTTTAGCTCCCATCGCGATCACTCAAATGTAATAATACTGTTATCGATGTCTACCGAAAAAGAACACTCTAACGGCCCACTGAACATGCACTGAGATCGAGGCCGGGTCCATAACCGGAGTGTTAAGTTCTCCTTGTAGCTGAGAGTTGACATTAGTCAACCGTATCCTTTATTTCCACTGGCTGGCATCCTAATCATGACACGTCTAAATTGAGATTAATTGGTGGGAGGTAGGAAGTGTAAACTCATGACAGACACTTTGATGGAGAGAGTGAGCGGAGTGACACTTTGACTCAAATAACACAGTAGAATTATTCCTCTTTGCTTCAAACTTTATTCATAATCTTCATTTTACCAATCAATAGTGCATTCCCAGGCTAGCAGTTCAGGAAAACCAGAGATGGAGGCCTGTCGGATGTTTGGCTGTGGCATGGAAAAGGCCTCGTGGGAGCGGTGCCAGAACAAAAACACAGTCTAATCCTTGATGTCCCCCGGTATATGTCCTCTGTGTCAGCACAGAAACAAACAGGACGGAGGCGAGCCCATGGCCACTTCTCATCCACTCCTGTGTTTCCTGTGGATCTTCGTTTAGATGGGGCGTCGAAAGGCTTCTCACACACTCTGAGCCACTTCTGGATCCCCCCGACAAGAGGGACATCAACAGAAATACCAACAAATACGGACACAGTCACAAAGCAGCTCTGTGGAGGAGCCGTAGTAATATTCTCTTTTCTGTCTCTTGCTTTTCTTTTCTGTTGTGAGTTATTCAATATAGTAAAGCTTTTCACAACCATAGAACTTTCCATTTTTGTTGTTTTTTTTGTACATTTGTATCATATCTTCACAAAAACTACTCTGACATTTGACAAACATTTACCTTTAAATGACTTGAAAGAAAAATAGCAAAGAAACAGAATCAATCAATAACACAGCCAGTAGCTTCACTGTACTTTTCTTTTTTGTTGTGCTTGTTGTCTGTTTTCAAAGCTACACTAATGAAGAGATCGGGTGTCCGTGTCTCTATTTGCACAAAGAGCATGTTGTTGGATTATGGCTGCAATAAAACCTCAGGAGTCGGCTTGGTTGTTAATCAAGGAACCCCATCAGATGGAAACAAACCTGCTTAATGTGCAGCTCCATATTTTTAGACGGTCGCAGTACACGATGAACTAGAATGACTTAGCACGGCCGGACAAAAAACGTGATGGCAAACCGGTGCCATGGAGAGAGCACCAAGGAGGCAGACACCTATCCTCCAGGGGCCCACGGGTGATAAGACTCAGCCGAGCCGGCAGGCGCTGCTCCCTGTTGTTGGTTTAGCTCTGGTGGGAAACGAGGAGATGCAGAAAGAGTACACAGGGCGCCGAAGCACACGGATGTTTTGCCGTTTGCAATAACTGACCACCGAGATAGTCGACGTGTTCAACTCTTTACATAGTTTCAAGCCTGGTGTAAAATCTGTTCAGATCAATGTTTTGGCAGCTGGTCCGGGAGAGTCTGTGGCATAAAGACAGACATAAAGTCTGATAGAATTCACAGAAATATTAGATCTATGCCGTTATTACATTGACAACGTCAAATTAAGGGATTCCCCAAAGGAGGCTCTAAACAGTAAAGTCTTTGTAATCCTCCTCAAACAGGGATTGCAAACATTTCACTGTGAAGACTTTGATTTGATAGGGTTGAAACTAATTGAAATCTTTTATTTAGACAGGTGTAAGCGTCTTAAACTGTGTCTGATATTGAAATATTATTCCTAAAAACTGTTTACATTTGAGAAAACCTGTTTTTGTAAGTGCCGCTGTCAATCAAAACCATCCTTAGTCTGCCAGTTACAGCAGCTGGCTATTCTGAAGATACTAAGAAGTCAATTTTGGTGGTCTATTCGTGTGTTCACGTTATTCTGACCGAGTTGTGTCACAGGACAAATGTAAATTCTCTTGCATCTCCTCTAACCCGGCGGAGCAGCAGCAGCTTGACTGGGGCTGATGGTGGCCTACTTCTACCTCCACCGGAGCCTCCATGTATCATGCAGGTCTCTCCAACCCATGGTGCCATCTCTCCAGAGTGCCACTGACACACTTAGGCCCCTGTGTTCCACGTCATAACAGGTCAGTGACGTAGAATGGAAGGGAACATATTCCCCAAACTTCTTTCTCTTATTTTGATTTCTTTCTCTGACTTCCTCTTTTTGAATTATTTAGGCAGTAGATTTCTCATTCAACTTAGCAGGAGGTGTATCAAAGTGACTTGATTACCTCCTTTCTCTGCTGTGATCAGAGCCTGTTTTCACCCTCTGCTTTGATAAAGGACAGAACAGCCAAAATAGAGGCATGAGAACAAATTGTAGTGGCAGCATGCCATAAGAAAAAGCAACAGAGCAGTTATAATCCCTATCCCATACATCTGAAATAACTCTCTGGAGCCACACGTTTCATGCAGGAGGATTAAGAAACTGGGTTTCATGGCATCAGAGACGAGGGAAATTTAGGTCATGCTTCCAGAAGTTATCGATCCAGCCCTCTGCAGGACAGGGCAGGCAGATTTAAACCAGTGGCAAAGCTAATAGAAAAGCAATATTCGCATTATCAATGATTCAGCTATGCACGTCACGAGAGAAGCAGCGGCGGCGTTTGACAGATGGAAATGAGTGAGCACGAGCCATCGCCGGTGGCAACCGATGCTGATGGTCCGATGTGTGTTCTTACAGCTGTGTGTTGGGAACAATCTCTACAGTTTTGTCAATAGATGTCATATCCGTTGACATACCATAACTTAGCAGGAGAAATCTCAAATGGCTCACCGTAGTTGATGTTCTGTAAAGCTGAGTGTTTCAAAACCGAGGTTCAGACTGTTGGGACAGCTGTGTATTTGTGTGTGTGTGCGATTGTTTTCCCTGCACTAACGCTGCCCAGAGTCTCCTTGGTGTCTTTGCGAAGTCTGGGAAGCTTCAGCACAAACCATGTGTTTCTCACTGGGAAAGGTATGAGCACATCTCCATACAGCCAACAGCAGTTGTGATTGGCTGTTTTCCGTTGTGACATCATTAATGGGAGAAACGAGGGGTCAGTGGGAGGGAGGGAGAGGCCTCCACATTCTCAAGAACATTAACGTAACACGTAACCAAAGTGGGGCTTCAGACAACAGATTCAAGACACACCAGTAACTGCAATAGCACAGCTGAAAACAGCAAGAGCCAATGGGGAATTGTGTCTCTGTGCTGTGCACACACTTGCTATGGACTTATCGCAAATGATTAATTACTTCCTGCTGAGTATAACAGCAAATTATAAACCCTAATGAAGGATTACAAACTCTTGAATTAGCCCTTAAATTGAAAAAACAGTCTAGAAACCGAGATACATGGCATCCAGGACAGAGAAGTGATAGTTTAAGAAAGGAGGCAGGCTTTTTCTCCTGGTGGTCGGTCCCACAATCTTGGTAAGGGGACCCAGGTGAGCCCCACTGGGTCAGGATGTACAATCAAATTGGGCTGTGGTCTCGATATGTGTCTCACACATGCCCCGCACTATCCTTTGCTTATGCTTCAAACGGCCCGCACGTGTGCGCACACCCCTGCCCTCCTGCCGGTGTGGTCAGGCTTCCCAACCCCCAAAATCCTCCTCAAAGGTTCTCATACAAGACAGAAAGAAGGCAGAGAGAAAAGAGTGCCAAAACACAAAGCATCTTATGCTCTTAAAATATGTACTAAACCACGCCAATGTCTGTTGTTCGTATGTATGTCTCAAAGCTCCCCTTTTCACTCCACCACAATGACAGTTTCTATGAGTATAATACAGCTTCTTCTCTGTTTTTTGTCGATTTTCTTCTTGTTAGATTGCTGACTGCGTCTAGGGGGGAGGAACCACGGCACCTGAGGGAGAAACGGCGGAGAGGAGAGGAAGAGGAGGAAGCAGACAGCGCTTGATATGTGTCCCGTTTGTGCGCCACCAGGTGGATGACTGGGTCTCTTCTGTCTGTGCTGCTGTCGGATGTCAACAGAGGTGGAGAGAGGAGGCGGAGGGAGGGAGGGTCGTCATGGGGTCAAAGGTGGGAGGGGTCAGGAGTTTGTAAGGGGTAAAGTGTTAGCCCAGCGTCTCCTTGCCGCTCTCTCGATCCCGCTGCCCGCTCTTGCTCATCTTCATCTCCGTGAGCTGGATGTACCGCAGCACGTTGGTGTCTGCGACAGAGAGGGGAAACGTGAGGCTCGACGGGCAGAGAGAGACGGATTCATTCGAAGCCGTCACGCTGTGGTCATGCTGTTAGTGCAGAGCAGTTTCAGCTTCACTCAAGACTCCATTATGGTAAATGTCAGACATATTTCATCTGTTGACTGTCAGAAATGGTCTTTAGCACTTTAAACCAGCCAACAGATGATGTAAAACAAAAATCCAAATGTAAAGCAGCACATGCATTTTGAGAAAAATAGGGACAAGAATACTTTATCAATTGATTTAGTGAGTAAATGGAGATTTCAATGTATTCAAAACATGCATGTATTACACATTCTCTTTGATCTCACAGACTGCAGTTACTGCCACAGCTCCTCTTATTAATCAGTGAGCTCAATGAGGAGCACACTGTTATTGCATTTCTCATATCTAGGATTTCAGTGATATTGCATTAATCCAGCTGTAAGATTTGTCCTGTTTGTTTACGTCTCTCACATAAAGCTGAATATTGGTGATATGATTTTCGACAAAATTGCTCCAATGTTAAAGGAGTGAATCCACCAACAAAGGCAAATGTGGCCGAGGTTGTAACAATGCAGGAACTCCACAAAAACGTTTCAATTGTTCACTTTTTAAGTGTGAATTTTTATGTTTGGTTCAAGTCAGTGTTTCATCCTGAAGTAAAGAAAGATAAAAGATATATATATTTTTTAAAAGTTTTAAAAAAGCTACTCCTGACTGCTAAGTGCTGCAAAAGTCAGAAGCTTCTGCCTCTTCGTACCTGTGGGTTCACGGTTCTTTGCGTCCCGCAGGTAGCGTAGCGCACATTCGTAGTCACCCAGGTGATAGAAGGCGATGCCGGCTCGGTACATGGCCTTAAAGTGGTCTCTCTGGTGGCTCAGCACCTTCAGGCAGTACTCCTTCACTCTCTCGTAGTTTACCAACTCCGACTGTAGGAGACAAGCTGCAAGACCAAGAAAGAGAATTGTGAATATTTAAAAAGGAAGAAAAGAAAGAACAAAACATAACGATTCAGAATCATTCGCCACATTCCGTGTGTGCAGGTGCTTTGAGATCTGTTAAGTGAAGTTTAAACGGCAAGTTGGTTCCACAGTGAAGAACAAAGACGGCGATATTTTCTGTGCCTTTAAATAGAGCCACGGTGAAATTTAGCCTCCACAGTACATCCTCGGGGTGGCAGTGAGAGGACTATAAATAGCCCTTTCTAATGTCTCACAGTGCATGGAAAAGACAAAAACTCGTGCAAGCAGTTTGAGCCCTTCGGCAGGAGCGTGGTGTCTCTCGACGCCGGCGTTGAACTTGTCATGCAAAACGGAGAAATGGGGCAAAACCGTGGCTGCATAATGATGGAGAGCAGCGAGGAAACTGATTGTCTTTCGGTTGGACCGTGGCAGAGCAAAGGAGAGGGGGGATTTTGAATAGCTGAAAACACCAACGAACAACACAACGCTCAGGAAACAGGATTTGTCTTTGTGTTTTAGTCGTCAATCTCACACATCAATGCAGCAATTCTCACTGAGATCAGCTTAGGTTCAAATAACTTCATTACCAAAGGCACAAAAAGAAGATTACACACATGCACTTACGGCTTTTAGTCCGCCAGAGCTTTTAAATGCCTGCTGATGGCTCAGATATCTGATCACTCTTTGTTCCTCTGCTGATCACAACCACACAACCTCTTACGTCCACCCTTTTACTCTCCATCATGCCCTCTGTCTCTGCTCGTTTGCCTATCTGACCATACATCAGAAACAATTTTCCTCTATCCCCCTTATACTGTCATCCTACCCTCAAACTCCCTTTTAACCTTCCCATCCCCCAACTGTCCTCCGACTAGGCTCTTGACAGACATTTTCTGAGAATAACATGAGTCAGGAACTGGGAGGCAGGGTGAGTCAGGAGTGAGAGGCAGGGATGAGGAGGTGTTAGTGTGGGAGGCCAGGGCTAAAGTGGAGGAGAGGTGGCACCTGTGGGAGCTAGAGGGTAAGGAGAACGTCTTAAAAGCAGTTAGAGGCCACCATCCTCTTTCTGTTTCTTCAGTGTAGTGAAGTGGGAGCATGAGTTTAGACAAAAAGCCAATGCGGGGTGAGGAATGTCCGGAGCCTCGGTGTTTTATCAAATGAGCAGGACTAATGGAGCTCAGAGACACACAATGGCCTTGGCCGCCAACAACCCAGAGGCAAAACACTAAATATTTAATCACGGACATCAAGGGACGGCCAAATTCAATAATAATCAATGTGTTTTTTGTAATTCAGTGTTTTTGTCAAATGAATGTGAATGTTCAAATGTCTTAACTATATTTGATATAATATATATAACATAAATCCAAACAAATCTGTCTTTTTTTAAATTTCCTGAAAAGATATGCACTCTTTTCATTAATTTTTCTTTTATAATCCTCCCTAATTTATGGTTGATATAAAAAACAAAGAAAATGTGGCTCATCTACAGTTAACATCAAAACAAATCATATGATGAATGTGTCCTTTTTTCTGAATTATGGTTGTTTATTTGAGGGGTATTCTTCAATCTATCTTCTTCTAAACATTTTTTGGGATGTTTTGAGGTATATCTGCAGATACTTGATGATGAGTATTGATGGGAAAAATGGGAGGCCTTTGGCCTTTGGCCTCTCTAATCCATTATTTATTTAGGGGTGTGACGTTTGTAATTATAGTGTTATAGAAGCCATCCATATCCCATCTTCTGCTTCTTTTAAAAACAGACATTTTAGTGGGTTGCCTCCAGAATTTGTTAGTGTGTAACTTAATCTCTTCTCCCCTCTGCTTCTGAGATGTTCCCCGTGCCAGTGACTGCAACACAAGCCCAAAGCATTATCGATCCTGTTCACTCCTTTTTTCTCTTCAAGCACATCTTTGTGCTGTATGAAAAGAATACTCCGCTGGACTTTTCAGAGCTTTTTCTTCTGCTGACAGTTTAAATTGTAATCATGAAGGCACAGTAGGAAACATACCCGAGCCGGAGCTCTTCTGAAAAAGAAGAAAGACTCTGTTTCTGCAGTCTTCAAAAAATAATCCTACCAGCAGATGATTGGAAAAGTTTTCTCTGTCTTCCAGACATCTTCCTAACTTTGACCTTTTTCCCACAGTTTCGTAATCAGAAAACTTCCAACAAAAGAAGCTTTTACTTAGAGCACGAATGTGTCGAATGTGAGCTATCTGCTACCGTCCAGGTTTCACCCGCTTCGACACACCTGATTCACATCAATGCACCGTTAGCAGGCCTGTGCAGAGCTCCGCCATGTTTTGAAGAGATCTGTTTCATCTGAATCAGGTGTGATGAAAATCTAGAATCTATTAAATCTGAAGGACAGCGGCCCCTTGAAGACCAGAATTGGAAATCCCCGCAAAGCCTTTGCCTGTTTCATAGGCACAATGGCAAGTGCTGCAGTTTTGTCAGCTATGCAGCTACTTGAAGGCGCTCACTGGCTTTTAGGAATCAGAGTTAATTATAAAGGTGTGTGCCTTGACCTGGACGGTAACTGTGAGAAGCTAATTAGGGTGTGATGAAAATGATATGACAAATTTACAACTTCTTTTCTTTTCATAAACACAGAGAATCTTTTGATCTGTGGCTCTTATCCCTCTTGGAAATAACATTTGAAATTCATCAAATATGGCATAATTAGTTAAATGCACGCACTTCCCAAAAAATACAAGTATACGTACATATTTTACTAAAAGATGGAATAAAACCTGACAGTCCTCCCATTTTCAATGCAGTTCATGAGTCAGCCCAAAGCAGAGCCGAAAGGTCGAAGCTGTTTCCCTTCTTTGGTAGTGTGTCTGGCCTGGTAGGACTCACCTCACATGCCCCGTACCTCCTCAGCACACCTCTCCATATAATCTAATCCTTTATTTGTTTTTACAACCACCCAGCTACAACATGACTACTCTCATCCACGCCCGGTCATCCATCATCTCCCTCCAGCCGCGAATAGGAGCTGAGCTTTCAGAGGATTCAGTTACAGTCCATAATGGCTTAATGGCTGACGCAGTTAGAGTTCACCGGCACTGAAACACTTCTACACTGAAACACACACAAGCCTACTACATATACATCAAAACATAAGTAACATGGGTTAAAACGTGTCAGTGTGAACAAGGGTTAGGGGATTATTTGTACTTTATAATGAGTCGAACACACTCAGAAGCAGATAACTTAACGTAAAAATGGTAAAAATGATTTGTGACCGGGGAAAAAATGCACAAAATGCTCGCGGATGACTGGCCGGCCGCACCCTGCTGGCCCATTAGGCCGATAGATGGAACGCCAGAGGAAATGTAGAGTGTGGTGAGATGCATTAAGGTTGTGATAATGATGGGGCGATCAGAGCAGGCTGGGCAGAGACAGACGCAGACCTGATAAAAACGGCAGAGAAATATCACTGGAGCCAACGTGTCCCCACGAACGTCTCCTGTATCAGGAGAGACATTTGGCAGCAGGTGCCGGGACTGGGCAGCATCTCTCATTAATGCAGGATAGAGGTTGTCAAATATTTAACAAGAGATAAAAAGGTAAAAAGGAAATGTCAGCAACAAAGAATTTCCTCTACTTTGTGTTTTAGATTAGGGGCCTGGAATTTGTTTTACTACTTGTCAGCTTGAGAAGACACATATACAAATAACAAAGATGTATTTCTTGGTTGAGCTGGGTAATAGATAAGAATATCTGTTTTAACTGCACATTAAGCTTCTCTTTGACAAATCCTCCAACCTATATGACCTTAAAAATGTTTTGTTCATAATGTTAAACGTGTCCAAAAGGAGTGCCCTTTAAATGAATGCCCCCACAGGCAGCCAGAGATAGATCACGTCTCAGATCTTTTAAGACTGATAACATTTTGAGGGTAAAAATCTGGAAAAAGTGTGGCGAGCAAGGAATGATATCCCAGCAAGGGGTCTGAACACAGACGCAGAACATTGTAGTTTGTGACATCGATGCTTTTCTTTTGAACTCCCTCTTCTTGGCAATTTGCTGATTTGCTTTGTTTTACTCACTGATTCCCTCTGTTCTTCCATTTACATGTGACCTTAGTTAGATAACACGGTTTTCCTGTCAGGTTTACAAACTGAACCCATTTGGTACAACTTTGAGCCTGAACACAGGCACGTTTTCAGGCATTTATTCGACAAGACAAGGCGATTAACTGGGAGCCGAAAAAAAAAGAAAAGATGCAGCAATATGAGACCCTGATTACAGCGAGCAGACGACTAATATGCAGGAGATGCAGGCTCCGAACGCATGCCCACTGCAGGGCTGCTGAACTGAACCTGAACTTAATCCCTTTCATGATGTTAATCACCCCAAGACATCAACACGGTATTTTGCTTTCCTCAGAAGATGCAGAAGTTCTGCAGCGTTTTCTGTCTGAATACACTAGAGATTTGAGAGGCTGGATGATGAGGCTACGCAAAGAAAAACAAGTGGTGCAAACAAGTCAGATTTGTCTTAATGAGGGACTTAGTGTGTCTGCAGGGACAAGTGAGTAAGCTGAGGCAGCAATGTTTTAATGTCTGAGCCACGAGTGTAATGTCGTTCTCTGTCTGAAGAACCTGATACATAAAAAAAAACTAAAGAAAGAGCAGGAATACAATACTTCCACCACCGGGAAATATGGAACAAAAGGCTCCTATAAAAATGTGTAAACATCTCTCAAGTCAAAATGTTAACACATTCTCAGGAGCCCCACCTGCTTCCCGAGGCATCATGTCTGAAAAAAGACAGACGCTACATGGAAGCACACTTTTATTTAGCAGACGGCCCAAAAATAAACCTAAAAAAATAAGCCCATTAGCACTGAAAACAAAAAGAAAAGCAGAATAAGGCAAAACCAGACCCACGCAGGAGAGGACAGAGAAACAGCAAGCAATAAAAAAGCGGCTCTGTTCCTGTTTGAAAGCGACAGAGGACAAGCGG